AAAGTATGAATTATTCTAAATACTAAGGATTTTCTTATCCCAGGCAAATAACCTTAGCCGTATTTGTCACAACTTTTTGGAACTTTTGGTCCTCAATGCTCTTCAATTTTGTACTTGTTTTGGCTTTCTAATTTTTTTGATCTGAGCGTCACTGATGGGTCTTATGTAGACGAAACGCGCGTCTGGCGTAATAAATCATAAGCCTGGTACTTTTTGATAGCTATTATTTGTGTGTATGTCTGTCCTGTATGTTCTCCCATTTATTTGTATTGTAGTCCTGTCATGTAATCTTGTCATTTTAATGTTATATTTAACATTGCCATAAAAGCGGGAGGTTTGGCTAGCCACAAAACCAGGTTCAACCCACCATTTTTTTCTTAAAATGTCCTGTACCAAGTCAGGAAAACGGCCATTGTTATATTATAGTTCGTTTCTGTGTGTGTTGCATTTTAGTGTTGAGTTTCTGTTGTGTTGTTCTTCTCCTCTTATATTTGATGTGTTTCCCTCAGTTTTAGTTTGTAACCCGGATTTGTTTTTTTCTCAATCGATTTATGAATTTCGAATAGCGGTATACTACTGTTGCCTGTATTTGCGATATTTCTATATTTGCAGATGCGAGTACTTTGCCTTTAATTTTATTTGGAAGATTACAATGCGATTATAAATCATTCATATGTAGCATTCCTAAAATAACAACCGTGCAATTGCACTGCGTTCTATATTTATCTAGACGAACAAGACCTTGGTAGTCGCTAAAATAGGTTCTTATTATTTAACCTGACTTTCTTGTGATTTTAAATGAAATATGTCGAAATGTTTCACCAGGTATGTACACTATTAGAAAAGTACATATGTTGCTCTATTGTATATCTAATGAAGATTGTGCTTTTAAAATGCTTCAAAACGAAGAAAATCGCTTAATTGAATTTATCTGTTAGCAAAAAGTTTATAAAGAGATCATTTAGTAATTTTGTAGAGACAAGTTTTGTAGAAGCTTACTTTATGTCCTTTGTTATACCAATTATGACGATGAAATCTATTGAAAACATAGTTTTCAAAATAATATTGTGTGTAAAATTGCACAATTTCATGGTTAATAGATAGATATATGCTGCTTTTGTTTGGTCATGTGTTATGCAATATTGTTAGATATAAAAAAGAGAGACGAAAGATACCACAGGAATTATGAAACTCATAAGTCGAAATCATACTGACAATGCCATGGCAAAAAAATGAAACACGATCAAAAGACAAACAATATACAACACACAACATAGAAAACTAAAGACTGACAAATAAAGTGATTTTTGGAGTTTTGATTTTAATTGTGTACCGGCAAGATCGGGAAATTAAGGAATTCTCACAAACCCAATTATTCATTACCACAACGGAAATATCGTCATTAATATTGTAAATATCTACTGCGAGTTGTGATATGAATCTTCTTCGACGAGTGAGCTAAGGGAACGAGCTCAAAAAGCATTATACTGATTATGTCGACAAGCTGGTATTTTAAATAAATTTTTAGGAAAATTTATGATCGCGATTTAACAGATTGTGTTGTTGTGTTTTTTAAGTTCGAAACAAGTGTCTTTTCAAGTCTTACAAACTGGTTCAGACTTAAATACGTTGGTTCAAAAATAATGTCATCAGTGATTAAGTCCGTATCAAGTGTTTAAGGCCAGATCAAACGCATCTGACGTCACATAATCGTGATATATGGGATTTTACGATAACCGAACAGTGTTTACACAGGGAAAACCGATAAGTGGTTATTGCTGTCTGTGTAGTGTTTATCACAGATCTTCGGTTTTCAACGTTAAATTCTTAAGAATTCTTAAGAAACTTACCAAGACCAGAGACGATCTTGGTTAGGGTTTTCCCATCGTATGGTTAGCTGTAGATGTTCATTATTGGTGATCTGTCATTCCTGGTTGCTGGTTTATGACTGTACCATCGTATTTCCTTTTATTAGCGTTATTGTTATATAACAAGCAAATATCAGAGTTTTTAAATAAATTAGATACTGATGAATCAATATTAAATAAACTAAACCCTGAACGATACTAGTTTATTTAGGAACGAAATGATGAAAATGCGTGTACCTTTCCAAAGACTGCAATTGTTTTTAATTCATTTGTATATGAAACAGTTGGAATGCTATTTGTCCAGTAGTATATATTGGAACTTTTTTTATCAAGCATCCTAAAATAATCAGAGTTGGAACCAGTTAAACTTTTTTCAGGATAAGGGTGATCGACTAGGGTATATAAGTATTGTCTTCTTGGTAAAATTGAGGTATTCGGTACAGTAAATTGATCAGGCCATGAAGAAGAAACAGTATGATGAGAGCAAAATTCTTCTGTCCTTTCATAAATATGTGATTTTGCCATTTGATCAGGGATTTTCCGTTTTGAATTTTCCTTGGAGTTTGGTCTTTTTGTTATTTTACTTTTTAGTTCTTTGATAAAGGAATAAGATAATCTAATTTGGACCTTTCAGTTTCAAAATACCAGCTGTGATGCTTCTATGACGTCATAAACCTTTTGAAATTTAAAGGATTAACAAAAAATGACTTTTTTACAAACAGTTTTTGGTAAAATTACTTATGAGCCAAGGTCTTACCGCAAAAGATACTTTGCCCGCATTAACATCTTGAATAAAACATATTGAAACACAATATCTTTTCGGGTAAAGCGATGGATAATCTTAATAGTAATGACGAGATCTCAAAATGAAGCATTTTTTACAGATATCTGACATACTGATGTCTTTTGAACATCGGAGGGATATTATTTGGAAGATTTAAAATAATGATTTTCGGAATTACAGGGTAAAAAAGAAGCCTCGTCATACCTTCTTCATTGTATTTTATCTACACACCTTTGTTAATGTGATTTACCATGGACAATTTATAAACTCTGCTTTCAAACTTCCATGATTGTATTTTTTTACCAGAGTTGTTATCATGGTAGCACTATATCTCTAATCATTGCTCTGTTCTAGTCGGTAGGAAATGTGCAGTAATGTAACTTTTATGGGTTATTTTGGGGCCCTTTATAGCTTGCTGTTCGGTGTGAGCCAAGGCTCCGTGTTGAAGGCCGTACTTTGACCTATAATTGTTAACTTTTTATATATTGTGACTTGGATGGAGAGTTGTCTCGTTGGCATTCATACCACATCTTATTTATATCGAATCACTATGCAAATGCATAAAGCATACAGTAAATGCTACATTATTTATTTTAAATACTACATTTTAATGCAAATGCTGCTAACGATACAGTGAATACATGTGAGCTTTTAATCACGTTCCATTGGTGAAAATTTACACTTGCATGTAAATATGCACATATGTAAATTTGGCTATGTATGTAAATGCAAATATAAAGTTCGTTCATATGGTGCTTTTACTGTGGGTGTATTTGCAAAATATACACAATGTACTCATTTGACATATAAAGAATAAGTTTTATTTTTTTCAAATTGAACTTGATAGTCGAGTCATGTGATATTTGATATTCAAAAGGACAGATAGTTCGATACCAAAGAAGATAAAAAGATGCAAGTTACCCTGTTATAAAGATACAGTCATAGCTATAGGTAATATATTGCAGAATAGATTAATGAACGATGGAATGATCTTCAAAAGTTTTATGGATGAGTGGGCGCTCTTTAATTTGTCGGATTCGCAAAGTTTTGGAATACAGATATCTGGAATGTTATTTCATTAAATCACAATTGATATTAATAAACTCATCATAGATACCAGGATTAAAATTGTGTACTCCAGACGCGCGTTTCGTCTAGAAAAGACTCATCAGTGACGCTCGCATTAAAATGTTTTTGATATCATTTTCAGGAAATTCAAAATTATACTGATCTTATTTACTTGCCATTGTTTTTTATTTACTACCAGTTTATGTAAAGAATGGTCCAAAAACATATCATAGAATATGATACATACTATGTTTTCAGTATGTTCAGTAGACAAGTGTCTAAGCCAGATATGACAATATAAAAATAAGAAGATGTGGTATGATTGCCAATGAGAAAACTCTCCTCAAGAGACCAATGACACAGAAATTACAACTAGCCTTATATTGCCTCTTTGTAGACATATTTTGTCTTATTTCATCTGAGACCAACAAACATTTTCCGTCAAAACCTAATTCTAAATAGAGATAAACAATAAGATAAATAAAATTTTCAAAAAAAGAGATGTGATAAAGATTGTTTGTCGTGTTCAGTTTAAGATTATTTCATGCAAAAACTCGTGAGTACGCAAATCGAACTTAATTGTAAAATATTTGTTGAGGGGTTGGGAGATTTTTTTTTATATTAGTATGTGTAGTGTGTTTTGGGTTTGTTCTTTCTTTTTGTAAAAACGGAAGTAAATATTTTACTTAGGAAAAAAAACAGTAGAATCACATTTTGTATTTTTATTAAAATAATATAATATAAACCATAGAAAATTGTCAACCGTTTGCTCTTCTCTCTCATTAAGATAAAAGATACAATCTTACAATTTTAAAATGGAATTTTTGTACCACTACATCCTTTTTACAAAATATACTTGAGAAACCCTGCATTTAAATAAGTGAATATCGACATCAAAAGTCATCTTCAAAGTTTAAGAATGACCTTTTCATTACTATTCACTTAGGTGTAACTTTTCCTTCTCTTTGCTCTCGTTTATCACTTTTCTAATTAGTGTGACGTGATACACATGTTAATTAAACAATTCATATATTAGTAGAACATGTTATACTTTAAACAAACACTATTCTAAATGATTTCTTTTTCAGTAAAGAGTGTATATAAAAATTATGGAAATATGAAAATAGGTCAATTTGATTACTTTTGAGATACTGAAGAAACTTAACTTCTAGATGGGAAAATGGTGTCTCTTGGTCATTTTTGTGTAATACAACGGAAGAAATAAATGATAAAATATACCAAAAATGTACTTAAAATAACAAAAATTAGAAAAAAAGTGTATTTCAAACGTATGCTTTTAATAAATAGTTATATATGAAGGTGTTCAAGTAAAACTTCCCAACGCATTGTTTAAAGTAAAACATAAAGTTTTCAAAATAATAATGAAAAATTGAAAATATGAGCATCGACTGTCCTTTGTTTGTTGGGCACACATCATTGATTTCTTTGAATAAAATTTAAGATAATTAGCAGTTTTATAATCTTTATGATTTCAATTTCAGTATACTAAATAGTTATTACCGTAAAAGTCTAAAACTAGCTAGTAGGATTAAACGTCAACATATCAAATTTAATTTTCACACGTCGATAACTACAATGTTTTCCTGTGCATCTGTAACCACACAATGACGCTTTCTGGGTCGTAATTGTGAGAACCGAACTTGTTCGCATAGCTAACTTTCCCATCTTGAATAATGTAGTAACGTTCTGGAAAGGCACTGTATGCTATATATAAATGCATGTTTTATCGTCCATTGTATCGACTAGCAATGGACAGTGTATGTCTTCCTTTCGAAGCAATGACGCTGCAGCAATTCGGTCATCTAAAGATCTGTGTTGTGGTATATGATCGTACGTTGTGCCTTGTATGCTCCAATCGTCTGCTGCATGTGATTCGGATACATAAACAATGACAAAATCAGCTATGCCGGCAAAATCACGCATCATTTCCTTAAAAAGATGCAACTTTGCCATAAACGGTGGTCAAGAGCAGCTTCCAAAACTAATAACCAAAGGACGATCATTTATTTGGAAGTCTAATAATTTCCGGAATGTCTTAGTATCAACATCATATACTGTTGAATTTTTGGCTTCTTTTCCGAGCTCCGATTCTTTATGCATAACATCACAATAAAACCACGAACACTGTTTTACAGCTGACAGATTAACATTTGAAATAATTTCGCGACCGATATGTTTTTTTGCTGCTCTGGCCTGTAAGTATTCCATTAATTTGCATACAAACGGTATTTTTTGTAATATCATAATTACCGTTAAAAATATCGCAAACATGATTCCTTGAAGTAGAATTAAACATTTTTGAAGAAATTGCAGTATTTGTAGTGTCATATTTATTGGAACTGTCACACTTGTCTGCAAAAAATTAAACATATCTTTTATCAATGAAGTTTCCTTTGGATCAAATTAAAACAGTTTTTCGTAAATAAAAAAAAAGTTCTCATGGTTGAGAAATTATTTTTCCTTACATGCAGACTCACCAACTATTTTGATTATTTCCTGGAAAGTAGAAGGTATAATGTAACTTTTTGAGCTGCTAAGTTCAAATAAGCATAAAGTTTCATAAATATATCAAAATGCCATATCATATTAAATCATAGCATACCTCCTTATTTCAATAATAGCTATAAACCAACATATGTTCTGAAATAAACCAACATATTTACTAAAATAATGTTTCTGGTTTTGCCTATTCCAATCGACATCGCGGTAAATTTCTAACTTTGTTGATGTATTCATAATAGAAAATATCCTTTTGACAAATTTGCGACGATTTCTATTTGCGTTATTATAATATAATTAAAATATCATTTTGAGATCGCCTCGTAATTTTAATTGTCTATTCAGAGTCCGACACTTATTGAAAATCTATAGTGTTAATGATCAACTGTTCTAGATAAAACCGTTAACGATTATTACAACTTTAAGAATTACTGTTTTTATGGTTTTTGTCCTGGGATGTCACAATTTCTATATGTCAATGAATATTTTAACCTTGGGTGTGCATGATCAATGTAACAATAAACAATGTAAACTTATATTAATAGACTTCCGTCTTTGTTTAGTATCTTTCAATGTGCGATGATAGGGGACAAGCTTCCTCATGTAAATTATCTTATCCTCATATACTTGAAGTCTAATAAAACTAACCATAAATCTATTGATTCTTCACTGTATCTATGTTTTCTGTAAATTTGACGAGTCATCATTGAAGTGGGGATCTCAAACGTTATAATTAATTTGACATTTTCAAAAGCTTATAATATTATTTAAGTTTGTGAATTTAAGAGAGAGGCGAAGATACCAAAGGGACATTTAAGTTTGTGAGTATTTATACTGTTGTATATCTTTTTAGAATGTACGGATTTTACATAAAAAATATTGTTAAAAACTTTTTTCTATAATTCAAAAAACAGTACATTTCATTTTCGCATGCTTTTTACGCATAATAGAATATAGTAACATTTCCTCTTTACATACCCATTTGAGTACATCTAACACTTACCTGATAGAAATATTTAAAATGCACAATATACTAACTTAAAATTCAGAAGACCATGACTAAAATCTAGGCTTGCATTTATCAAATAAAATGTCCAATAAATTAAATCTTTAAAAAAAGTCTTGACTCATCAGATCGATACGAAGCACAAAAAACATAATAGGCAAAAGACACAAAGCACCGCTCGAAAAGTCCTCGAAGTAACTGAAAGCTTGTTTAAATCCAATAACAAGTAATAAATAAATCATGTATACATTGTTTAAATGTTTATTTGTTTCAATTTGGCATGTTTTTGAACTGAAATGTACTTGCAGTAGGGCATTGATACTGGTTCCAATACCATTATAAAAACAACATAACCATATAACACGGCTTAAGAAACTACAAAAAAAACCGGCTTTAATATCATTTAGCCTTTTGGAGAAAGAACATTAGTTTCAGTGCCATAGATGAAAGGGTTATTTCCAAAGAATTGGTTTCATACCTGGAACGCTTTCATAAAAATATTTCAAATCTGCTGAAATGTTCAGTATCACAGCTTAACATTTTTTATATCATTTTGAAGTATTTCTGGCAAAATTTTAATAGATTTATATTAATCTAAACAACTATATATTAAGGCGACAGTAGTTAACCGATGTTCAAATCTCGTAAATCGACAAATCAAGGGGAGCAAATAGAAAATGGGTGAATCGTCTTAACTCCGAAAAGTCGCTGCTCCTTTTTCCTCATATGAATGCATCATCCGCCGTGCGAATAAAAATGTCACAATCAGGAATAGGACACAATCGATAAAATTGCAAATCAGACGACTTTACTCAGTGGGAAATCTAGTGACAAAATATTACCTCTCCTGTAAACAATGAAAACTTGATCTTTTCATGTTTGTTCCGTTTTAGCAAGGACGCTATTAATTATAAATTAACTAGAAAACGCTCTGGTAAATAGTAACAATAAAAATGAATAGAAATGAAAATAAAATTTCCATATAATGTTATCAATTCCCTCCTAAATGGTAAACGACGAGTACAGCAGTCTATCGGATCTTTGTGTAAAATTTGTTTAAGATGATTCAATGCAAATTAATTCCTTGAGTACCAAGTTCAATTTATTAACCTACTGGCTGTATACCTCTCTGGAACATGCCAATTATCCGTTTATTTATACAGCTAGATCAGAGAAGTTCAGGGAAAAAATTTCAATGGAATCGATTGATATACAGCAAAGATAAGCACTTTTGAAATTAAGTTACTAAGCGAATTCAAACGGACCTTATCCCGATGTAAACATAGAAGTGAATAGATCGAGAAGACCGCAAATACATGCACATAAATTGAGATGACCTTTTCTTAAAATTGTATAAAACATTAGTAAAATCTTTTAACGTATAACCTACTTTATGAAAATATTCATCGTTAATTTTTAAACCTGCACATACACGACTTTGAAATTGTCACATTCACGAAAAGACAATATTTTAATTTTGAAAGTTCACGTGACAAGAGCTCAAAAATTTAAGATGTGAAAAAATGTATATTTTGGGTAATTGTAACATGCTAAGGACTATGTGAAACACTCCGAAAATTGGTGACCTGACAGATCTTTTTATGTTCATGATTTTTCCATTGTTTTTACTGATGCAATCATAGGACGCTTAGCTATGGTAACGGCATGCATGATGTTACAAATCTTTACTCTGATTAGACGAAATTGCGGAATTGAACAAAATCCAACAAAAAAAGATATATGCTACAATATAAAAATATTGGTGTTAAACTTTACGGACTTAAAATCAAACTTAAAAATAAAATTATCCAGATAAATAAAATAAATTCAGGTAAAAAAGGTGTCATTATCACCACTGTCATTTTTTTTTTCATTTTGTAGGTTTACCCTTTAATACATGAGCAGGTAAATATCACTGACAGGTTCATTAGATCTATAATTGAAGCTAATGTTGGTCAATTGGGCTATTAATAGCTCGAGTGCTGTAAATAAATCTTATCGACTTTGTGTACTTGCAACTGCAGTCTAAAACTTCCAGGGCGAAATAATAATCTCAAAGAGTACAAAATATTATACTTGAAATAAAGAATGTCAAAATACATACATTGTATGTCGCAAATTTAATTACTTGTCAAAATCTGTTTTATATAGATCACCTCCCTTTGGCGTTCGTCCGTCATCGATATACACGCCGAAATAGGTTTTATCGCTGACTGTTTACACACATCATTATAACAGTGGTTGCAAAGCTACTTGTCAATTTCAACTTTATTTTGAATTAGGATTACACAATCGCTATTATGTAGTAACCCCTTTTGTTGTTTACACAACATTGTCATTCATTTATGACAATGTCATTCGATGTGTTTGAGCATCACCGCTCTTCAACACTTTGTACAGTGGACCATTCATTGGATACCAATGACCGTTTGTCCCGCCTTCTTTGATTGATTGACAACCGTATTTTGAACTTCATCTCGGGACAACTTAAAATGAAAATATTTTTAAAATAAGTTTATCAAATTGAAAATAATTTTCATTAGAAATAAACTACTTTTTCCATTCCATTTCAAAACAAGCAATGAATTTGTGAAGACATTTAGTCTAACATTTTGTTTTTTAAAAAATGCATCCCTTTTCGAAAAAAGGACATAAAAATAGGTGCATAAGAAAGAAAATTCCAGTAAAAGTACCGATGTTTCAAATACTAATCAACTGTGAAAGATATTAGGAGTCGTAAAATTTATGAGATCCATTGATTTCATTTAAACATCAAAACAGAGGAGTGATCAGGAGTTGTATGAATGTAAGATTACATTGTACTTGCTTGAAAATATTGTGTATAAACGGAAAGTTTTCTTTTGCATAAACGTCAGTAAAAACGTGCCTCTCTTTGTCGATTGAAACTAATACATTTTCGCTACGTGCGTGAATATACATTTATAAAAGAGGCAATGCATTTCACACACTAGTCTTAAATGTCAATCTTTACTAAAAACTAACAATGTCTTTTATGAACAAAAATGTGATAGATAAAACAAATATTATTTTCGCCGGATATTCTTCGATGCAAAAAAATGCGGAAAATTTCTCCTGTATTTTTTTTAACTTGCAAGATAAATATCTAAAAGTTGCAAAATCCTACTGGAAAGTGATTATCAAACAGTCTTTATCATTTTCTTAAATATTGTTTCCCAATCTAAATTATTATCTGTCGCTGATAAAGGCATATTTTGTTACAAAACTGCGAATTTTACATGTTTTTGTAAAATTTTGCTTCGCTTACCAAATTTAATTGATTTGAATCCAAAAGACATTATACATTATAAACCTTCTTTTTCATGGTGAATTGGTAATAATTATGTACTTTTGAACTTATTCTTTGAATAAAGAAAGTCTGTGGTGTAATTTATAACGCACAGAAATATGTGACTCGCAGGTCAAACAGATGTTGGGATGTAGGAATTAAGTTTTTTTTCGCAAAAATTGTTTGATTTAAAAAAAATATTGGAAGAGAGAAATACATTAACATTAAATTGCAAGACATTTTTTTTACAATCCCTAGAGGGAAATGTTTCGATTTCAAATAATTAGCTGCACATGGTATAAGAATTTTATGTAACTGTTTGCTGTATAAAGTTTAAAGCTTTTCAGAAAGCTTATGGAATTTTAATCAATCATTTTATGATTTGGTATAAGTACAATATAAACTAAGGAGAGGTGGTATGATTGCCAATGAGACAACTTCCCACCAGGGACCAAACGACGTAGATGTTATAGCAACTATGTAGGTCATCGTACGGCCTTCACCAATAAGCAAAACCCATACCGCATAGCAAGCCATAAAAGGCCCAGACATAACAAAATGTAAAGCATTCCAAACGAGAAAACAAAAGCCTGAATGTATAAAACAACAAACGAATAACAAATATGATACACTGCAACGAACAACCACTAAATTACAATCTCCTGACTTGGGACAGGCACATGAATAATGAGGCGGGGCTAACATGTTAGCGGGCGCCCAAATGTAGAATGATGAGGTCACATGTTGAAGAAATTAGAATTAACCTTTGAGAACAACAAAAAAACAGATAAAAGAAACAGTGCAAACCAAATATGAAATATTGACAATGACAAATATAACAAGGAAAGTTAACAATCAATCAAAATTAGGATGAATATTTTCATTTGCCTATGCATGATAAAGAGGTGTATACCTTCATAGTGATGATATATTTCCAGTTCAGCATCTTAGTATCAAGTAGACTTTTGAAGATTCCGACTTTCCAAAACTAGTTTTTGTATGGTAAAACAATTTGCAATACAAATCAATTTTTTAAACAGAATAATTACATTAGCCAATTCTTTCATTTGTGTATTTTCTACATAAATTTATTATTGATATCACAAAAAAACATATATTGAAATTGCTCTTAAAGAAAATACAAAATCTAAAATTGTATTTCAAGTTATCCCCAATGCCTCCTGATCTCTGACCACCAAAAAAAAATTGTCTTTTATCAATAAAAGTTCTAAAACATCACTATTTGCTATGCACAATTCTGATTGCACAATTTTCTATTTTCTATTTTCGTAATAAAATTATTTTGATGTACACATGTATTTCACGGGCTTTAACAATTATCACTTTTTCAGTAAATATTTTAAGCTCCTTTTCTGTTCCAAATTACAGAGTATGCTTCCTCTATGTGCAATAATTTTGCTGACAATAGTTGTATGGCAAGCAACTGAACTGTAAATTACTGCAAGGTTGAATTATCGGAAAACAGCGAATTATGATTTTTCACAAAAGATGAAATTATTTTCACAACCACTGCCGAAATTACTCTTGCAAGTGTTGGACATGTCGATTCATAAACATTGACTCTTTTCCAACAGTAACTAACAGGTCAATCTCTCCAGTCCAGTGGTGGTTTGTGCAATAAAGGAAAAACAATATCTTCTTCACCCTAAAAAAAATAATTTTAATTTCTCACAAAATGTATCATTAAAATCTCTAAAACAAAGAAAATTCTAAATAATGCGAAATGTTTTGAATATGGAACGGAACCAAATATTGTATCTATCAATTTGCATATTTTATTCAATTTGGTGGAGGTTTTCTGCACTCGGTAGATGGACATTTTATTGTCTATTTTATTTCGGTGCTGTTCCAAATCATTAAAATATGACGACCCCGGGATGAAAATTATCACCCAATAAAAGAACAGAACACTGCAAAGTATATGTTTTTTTACAATTAGTTTGCCACGTTTTTACGATACTTTTATTGATTCTAAATTTCTTGAAAAAGAATAATTATTTTCAGGGTGGGGGAAAGGGGGTTTGGGGTTGGGGTAGTGAAATTTGTTTTTATAAAACAATAAGTATACATAATTGAGTTTGAATCAAGTTGAAATGACAGCAATAATTCTACATAGATAATATTTTTATTCAAATGATACATACCTCGAACCCTTAAATCGTCATTTTTCTGTAGACCCTACATTGCTTTAAGTCAGTGCGACTTTATCCGCCAACAACACATGTCCACAAACAAAACTTCGGGTACATGAGGAGACCTTCTTGCTTTAAGACGGTTCACATTTTCTTTATTATGAGCTAGAGCTAGTTTCGACCTTGACGTCTTATTTTTAAAAATACTTCATTGATGATCTTATCACTACAACGTACTTGCAAAAACTTCGTTCCCGTGAAAATTAAGAGTTGTTTCAATTTCAAATTTCATCAAGATCTCTACTGTGGCTATAAGCAAACTGTCTGTCGACAAGATAAGAGGTCAATGTATCCAAGTGAATTTATTCTAATGTACAATGGGTAAATGTCTGGTTAAAACTAATCTTATCTTTGATGTGTCGCATAAGCATCCCTATAAAGTAAGACAGTCCGTGCGTGACCCATGGCATAAAATATTATATGCATTTCATTGGCTATTTTCTATCAAAATCCAGACCAGTTAGTAACCTATATCAATTTACGTATCTGAAGACGAATTTGTGTAAAATATTTTGTTTGATTTTAATTTCTGAAAATCTAAATAAACATAACTCTAGAACAGATCTTTTTGGGACGTCGGGTTGTGCCTTTATTTTTGCGGGAATTCGGGATTTACACTTATTGGGACTCGGGAATCAATGATTAATTTTTCGGGATTCGGGAAAAAATGTTTTATTTTTCGGGGTTTCGGTATTCAGCTTTTATTTTTTTCAGAAAATTCGGGATGACACCCCTCCTACCTCTCTCTCTCTCTCTCTCTCTCTCTCTCTCTCTCTCTCTCTCTCTCTCTCTTCAGCAGGCAATATTGAGAAAAAAAGAAAAAAAATCATTCTGTATGAATATTTATATTTGTTAAATACTTGCAATTCTTCTGAAACCACAAAACCTGCAGATTTTTTGTATTTCTTTATGTGGAATGACTAAAAAAAGGGGGTGTACACGACTTTCCAAACTTAATCTTCAACGTTACTCAACACTTTTAATACTGAAACAATTAGAGATATCAATATTTTTTTTCAAATATCGAATACTAGTTCCCAACTAAATGTCTAAATATATCCGTTTGGAATATGATCCCCCATATTGACAGCTATCATAGGACATCAGTTTAATATAGGCATGGCAATCCATTACATTTACATGATCCAATCAACTGTCCTTTATGATATAGATTGGCGTGCGATTGTAGTTGAAACAATGTAATTTATATAATGACATTGTATTAGTTTTGGGACACAGTTACATCAACATCAAAAGGTAATGTACTTTATTATGGAAGCTGTGGATTACTGGTTCAAAATAAAATTGGTTTTGACAAGTTGCTTTGTAACCACTGTCATGATGTTGGGTGTAAGTTGTGTTTGACATATAGTAACTGTTATAATTGACATTTTTTCGTGTTTCTTAACTGTTTCAAGTGTGTTATGCATTACAGAGTGTAACTTATAATATCTTTTTCTATCATAATCATGCTTTTAGAATTTTGTTTATCTGTGAGTATTTTATGTGTCTGTTAATTTGACTTATTCATAATGTACCTATTTAAAATTCTCCGCTGATCAATGAAGGAATTATTCAGAAACTAAGTTTCCAACTCCCTCAGTTAAAGTTAACCTGAGATGGACTTAACTATTCTTTTTATGTCTCTTTTGATCATATAGCTCCTCAAGTATCAAGTATGTATACATCATTGGCTTTCAAATTTTTGGGCTTGAGGGTTTCTGATGTAGGTTAACCCAGAAAAGTGCATCGGACGCACGAAATTTTACAAATTGTTATTTTCATTTACATTCATTTAATTTATTTGTTATCTTGTTCTTTGTTACATTATTGTCATTATAAATAAACTAAAGCACGTGATATATTCAAATATTTAATACACACTGATAGAATTGTACTACATTTATTTCATCTTTAAACATCATATTTCATCCAAAGTCAAATCTTATGCTTTGAATATGACTTCTTCATTGTGTGATGTAATTCTTTAAAATAAAACGTACAAAAAGCCTAAAAATAAATATAAATAATTATTTGTTATAAAAATATGTTCATTAGAATATAACCATAAATTATGAATTAGATTCAATGTTTATTCGTATATGTTACCTCAAAAATTAACAATGATTCCTTCATTTACTTATATTCTGATCGACATAGTTATGAACGATTTGATATTACTTACATATCAATAATGACAAAATCGTGGTAAAACACCAATCGCGTTAATATACAAAAAAGCTTGCAAAAAGCTGACATGTCGTTCACGAAATACCATACGGATCTATCAAATTACATTTAAGATCGACCTGTTCTTCAGAAGATATGATTAGGCTTATGCCGAAACTTAAAGCTCAAGACGTGTTTCGTTTATATTTTACATTGTTTTCTGATATACTTCTAGCCAACCCTTTACGTCTTGTGGACTATAACATTGTGGACCGAGTCCGTTTGCTAAGACTATCTTTCCGTTATGGATGATGTAATATCGTTCGGGAAACGCACCATATGCAAGACATGTTTTATCATCCATGGTATCTACCAGTATCGGACAGTCAATACCTTCTTGTCTAAGAAGTTTAGCAGCTTCAATTCTTTCCTCTAATGATTTATGCTGTAACATATCTTCATATTTAGGACCACGGATATTCCATCCATCTAAAGGGTGTGCTTCTCTTACATAAATTAATACAAAGTCAGCAACAGAAGCAAACTCACGGATCATTTCCTTGAAACGTTCCAGGTCTGCCATAAAAGGAGGTCAGGTGCAGCTTCCAAAATTAATAATTAGTGGGCGATGGGATTTTTCAAAGTCTAATAATTTACTAAATGATTTAGATTCTATATTATATACTGTCGTGTTAACTGCTGATTTTCCAATTTCTGCTTCTTTATATATAATTTCCCATAAATGTTTCTGCAAAACTTGTTTCAAAGTTTTTATGTTGATGATTGGATTTAATTCCGGTCCGTTAGTTTGTTTTGATTTCCACGCCATTCGTCGTTTCACAAGGATTCCAATGCCAGGCAGACTCCGAAGAGTCGTTACAAATGTTATAAAAAAGACAGCCTTGAAACATTTGACAAGAACAGTCAGGTTATAAATATACCGAGACATCATAGTTTGTTTTCTCAAAGAACTGTAATTCATCAATGTATCTACAATTTAAATCAAAGACATCTTATAGCGGGAAATGGAAACTTCCAAGAAAAAAACATAATACGTTTCTACTTGAGCCCAATGGTTGCTTAAATTAATATAAACGGAGATATAAAAAATACTGATTAACACTAGGTTTGTTGTCATTTTCTTTTTTTTTAATTGTTTCACATTTTGTTATGTCGGGGCCTTTTATAGCTTCCTGTGTGATATGGGTTTTCCTCATTGTTGATGGCCATACAGTGACCTGTAGTTTTTACATCTTTGTCATTTGGACTCTGGTTGATAGTTGTCTAATTGACAATCATATCAAATCTCCTTATTGTATATTGCTCGGTTTAAAACAAAAGATATTCTAACTGCACTCTAAAATACAAGCACAACTTGGTTAATATAGGAATGACACCTTTTCTGAAATAGGTAATGGACGTCTACAATAGTCACCAATTTTGTTCAGGAAAAAAATACCAGGGTAGATATTGTCTGTATTTTACCTCATATTTTAAGTTTAACAGTTTTAGTATATCAATTTTTAAGATATTTTAGAAACGTCTCTTAAAAGATATCGTAAAATATAGAATATCAAATATTAAGAGACACAAGATGTTAGACTATGGCTATTCTTTTGGTAACTCCCTATATGTATTGACACATTTTTTTTCGGTTGTTGGCGTTCTTGGCAAATGTTTCATCCAAAAATGCACTTCAAACGCAGGAAATTCGGAATGTTATGTAAATGATATAGCTAGCAATTCATATTTCATTAGATATTGACAATCAATTTTTCAAACTAGAAAACTTCTAGATTTTCATTCTAAAAGTGCTACTGGTTTATTAAATCAAATATAGGTTACATCAATTATTCATTGTTAATAGATATAAGAAGATGTGGTGTGAGTGCCAATGAGACAACTCTCCATCCAAGACACAATTTGTAAAAATAAACCATTATAGGTCAAAGTACGGTCTTCAACACGGAGCCTTGGCTCACACCGAACAGCAAGCTATAAAGGGCTCCAAAATGACTAGTGTAAAACCATTCAAACGGGAAAACCAACGGTCTAATCTATATAAAAAACGAGAAACGAGAAACACTTATGAACCACATCAACAAACGACAACTACTGAACATCAGATTCCTGACTTAGGACAGGTGCATACAATTGCAGCGGGTTTAAACGTTTTAATAGGTACCAACCTTCACCCTTATCTGAAACAATAGTGTAACATCACAACATAGAAAGACACACTATAAAATATCAATTGAAATGGCTTAACTCAATCAAAAGACATAGTAACACAAGTGAACATACACTGAACGAATAAATTTGATCTATGATACAATGTAAATACAAAATCAATAAAATAAGGGGTGAATAAATAAAGGCAACAGTAGTATACCGCTGTGAGATGTTAAACAATTTCAAAAAAACAACAACAACCTTGACCAAAAAGCCGCCAAATGCAATAATATACTCCGGTAAATGAAAATAATTTTGTTGTAAGGTATACAGTTTAAATGGAGAACGGAAATATTTTTTACAAAATAAAATAATTTTGTTGTTCATAGTACGAAGAAGTGAAAAAATATAGTCATACCAAACACTTATCAAAGCTGGTATATAGACGAGATATAACCCTGAATAAGTAAACATTAAATAACAAAAAAGCATTACAAATAGTATCAAATTAACAAGAAAGTATGATTTGAGAGTACTCGCAGTTACTGACAGCTAGTTAAAAGCCAAAATCAATTAATAATAAAAAATCATGCATCAGAGACTAAGTCTTTCTTTTTGTACCAATTAAATCGACCGAAATAATAGAAAAACGTACAAGAAAAAATAGCAGGTTCGATCCCTTTTCATATATAGGTAAAAATCAAAAGAACTAACACGGTTATTATGTAAAAAAGTTATTACTTGGCAGTATATCACTTTATTAACAAAAATTAAACGGATAATAGGTTAGTTGTTTTATAATTTAAAAAAAGTTAGCATGTATTAGATACATCCATGAGAATGTTACCCGATTGGATTCATCTTATTTAAACCAAGATAGTATGACTATTGCAGAATGATATATTTCAAGAATTAAGGAGGAAAAGGGGGTCTTTCAGCAATTTGACCCTACGTATTGTAAAGCATGGTAAATCAGGATATCCAATTACATTTAAGGACATATTGGTGTAAATATAAAAACAACTTACCACTACTTAATCGGCAATTTTCTGTCAAATCAACGTTTGTTTAATCAACAAACCGGTGAAAAGGTAGAACGTATATTAAGCATTTTATTGTTGTTAAGTGACATATTTAGGACGGCTGAGATTAAACAATATGAAGTTTAATATCCAGGACAGAAAGTTGAATTCAAAAATCATATATAAAAATAAGTAGCTGTGATACCATTGCCAATAAGACAACTATCCACTAGAGTTCAAATGACGTGGATATAAGCAATTCAAGGTCACCGTATGGCCTTCAACCATGAGAAAAACTATACCGTATAATTAGCTATAAAAGTCCCCGACATGAAAAATGTGAAACAGTTCAAGCGAGAAACGGCCTAATTTATAACAATACAAAACAATTTACTAAAAACAAATATGACCGACAATAACCAACAATAACCTCTGAATACTAGGCTCCTGACTTAAGACAGGCACATAGAGAATGCAGCGGGGTTAAACATGTTTATGAGCACACAACACTTCGCTTACCAGGGACAGTGGGTGTAACATCACAATATAAAGACAAAGTATAAAGATATACTACATATTAAAGATTTTCAGGCCAGAGAGAACAAAAATGAAAATAGCACTTTATACTCTTTTTGCGTCCGATGTGTTTTTAAGAATATACCTTCATCAAGAACACTCAAAACCAAATATTGCAAGGATGTATACAGCTACTTTTGCATAGGTACTATTTCTGTACTAAAAATCTGTAGTACTGGAAATTTACTTTTAATATTTAGTACTATTTCTTTACTTTATTATCATTGTAATATTTAGGTACCTGTATTTTACAGTACTTGATTTGTACTAAAAAATTTGGTACAGAAATAATACTAACAGTGATCGCAATATTTCATGTTTGAAAATCATAACTTTAAGAGATTTGAAATAGACAAACTTTCAAAATGCTGAAAATGTAACGGTGTAACCAAAAATCTGTAGTACTTAAATTTCAAGTACAAATCAAGTACTGTAAAATACAGGTACCTAAATATTACAATAATTTTAAAGTAACAAAATAGTACTGAATATTAAAAGTAGATTTCCAGTACTACAGATTTTTGGTAAAAAAATAGTACCTATGCAAAAGGGTTGCGCAAAAGTAGCTGTGTATAAGAACCGAAACAGGTGAAGAGCTATATGACCTAAAACTAACAGCCAAATCCATCTACAGTCAACTTTGCCGGAGGGAGTTGGAACCATAGTTTCTTAATAATTTCTAAATTTGTAAAGGACAATTTAAGAAAAGTATGTTATAAATCATGTCAGTACTGACCACTCAACTGATTATACTCTCTGGGACTAATAGTCCAAGAGCAGCGGTATCGACTCAGTGCTATAAAAAAAAATAACAATCTATAAAGGAGTAAGTTCACGATGGTCAATATTGGCCCTATGATTCTGCGAAATTTAAATTCAGTAATAATAGTAAACATCTGATGACGCAATATGTAAAAAATATCTGACATATACAAAATCAACAAGTGTTAGACGCATTAGAACACTTATGATGTTATTATGACGTCATAATTGTGCATTCGTATGAAGAAAATCATATTTTTATCACTACATTTTTTGCTAAATTTAATAGTTTTTGCTTAAGCGATGTTGGCCACATACAAGGACCACTATGATTTTTTTGTTAGGATGTATATTTGATTCATATACATCTTTGTAAACTTGTCCCCTATACTCTTTGTCTTATACTTAGACGACCTAGAACACTTTTGTGGGGGAAAAGGCCTACGAAGGCTTCAAAGTATTTCTAAAAAAATTTACTTCAAGCTTCAAATTTATCTAAAACTGAATATAATCCTTTATGCAGACGACACATCCCTATTGGGAGAAAGTGTTGATGATTTACAGAAGCAGTTGGATTCTTTCAATGAAAACTGTTATGTTTTGAAGTTTTAAGTTAATGATATGAAAACTAAAGTCATGATTGTCTCTAGAGGCAGAATGTCGTCAAATTTACATTTTAATATAGATGACACTGATATTGGAAATGTAACAGAATTTAGCTATTTGCGCATATTCTTATCTAGAACTGGTAATCCTAAAATAGCACAGAAGCAACTCGCAGAAAAGGCTACACAAGCTATGTGTAATCTGTTGAAATCGGGCCGCATGCATAATCTTTCCATTTAGTGTAATTTCGATCTTTTCGACTAAAAAAAGTTGTTAAACTCATACTACTGTATGAATGTGAAATAATGGGCATGGTAATGTTGATTTTGTAGAAAGAATCCATCTGTAATTTTGTATACTTCTTTTGCCTTGGAAACTGAAAAAAATCATATCTAGCTATATGAGATATGAGGAACTTAGTAGATATCCTTTTCACGGGACATTG